TCTGCTACACGCATGACCTCTCCTTTGTTGTTTGTTGTGCAAATTAGATCTTGGTTTACTTGTCTATCTGCATATCAAAAGACCGACATATAATATTTTCTTTCAAGCTTTTCAGTTGTTTTTTTTCTTAACTTTGGACAATTCATTTAATATAATGTTGCACCTTAGCTAAATGTAAGTCGCCTTAATTTTAAATTTGGGTAAGTCGATTTCTTGCCAATGATTCTTGCTCTGAGATTTGTATTGTTTTTTGGACTACTTTGTGAAGCTGGTTGCTATTGTTTTTACTGACCACATATTTGGGTCAATCGATTTGCCACTGGGCTATAGCACATTACTCGTACCGCCCATCCCATCCCTCTTTCCCTCTGTTATTTCTTCTGTTTTTCTATTTTAATGTGTTTTCCTTTTTTACTTATTAGTTGGTTTATTTTATTTTCTTTTGTAGGTATTTTTGGATGTTGGCTGAGTGTAAATGTACACATCGACAAATACTATGTAATATGTGCGAAAAATATACTATTATAGTGCAAAGTCATGTGCATATTTTTTAACTTTTCGTTATCTTTATTCATAAAGAGTAATACCAATGACATTAATTAATTATTCCTTATAAAACTTCATTATTTTGATTTAGTTATTATTCATTGTATTCCTTCTTTTAGGATAATACCAATGCCACTAATTCATACATGCTTAGTAACCTTTTTTGCAAAAATTTCACTATATGCTTATTCTTGCATATTTTAAAAAGCAAATTTATGCGTATATTGTGTGCAGTTTTGTCAAACCGTTGTTTTACATTTTTTTTTTCATTTACCTTCTTGTTAAAGCGTAATAGCAATGCCACTAATTCATTTTTCAATATGAACTTTATTATTTAATTTTATTTTATTTCTTCTTACAGGGTAATACCAATGCCACTAATTTCATTTTTCCATATGAAACTTTACTGTTTGATTTGTTTAAATTTTATTTTCTTTATTATTATTAAAGGGTAATAATAATGTGACTAATTCATTTTTCAGTAAAAACTTCAGCTTTTTGGGTTTTCCTGTAGTTTTTTAGTATTAG